GTAATGAACCAGGCTGGGAGTTTTTAAAAGCCTCAGGAATCTTTTGCAGGTGTTTAGAGTTAATTTGTTGATTCATAAGTCATTTAGAGAAACTTTTCATGATATGCTCATTTTTTGAGAAGGACCTGTATAAAAGTAAATGCGTGCTGTGTTGGTTGAGTGAAGGAACAGAGTGTAAATGTAAGACTTCTCTTTTGCAAACCTTCAGAAAATGTTAGAGCTCCTACCAACTTTACTCTTTACTTACTCCACTTCTTTAAAACATTTCACTCTGCTAATAATTTATTCACTTTGTAAGGTTTACTTAACATCACTTAAACAACCCCTTCAATCCTCTTACATTTATAATTTCAGCTTCTGGTACTGTACTGTAACTTGAAAAATGATTTGAAAAAATATTTCTATTTTTCACTGGAAAATATAGTCAAATAAAATGGAAAACATTTCTAAAGAAAGCTTGAAAGGTGCAGCTTCAGTCCAAAATATCAACCTATTGAACATTAATTAAAAACCATAAAGACCAATYGTAATCAAATATTTATTTTTGTAAGTTATTGGGATAAAAAGGATTTCCAAAGGTTGAGGAAAGTTTAAAAGTCAGAATATAATATCAACACTGTCAGGTTGGCATTTTGTGGAAAAATCTGTAAAAACCATAAATCTAAACTGGTATTGTGGAAAATTGGTAAACATGTTCAAAATGACAGGTCAGATGTATAAAGTTCAACTTCCTTGTTATGAATTTCAAGGAATGGTTTGAACCAAGATGCAGGACTGAGTGAGGGTGGCTACAGGTGCGAAAAGGTTTTATTAACAAAAATCAAGCAGCTGATGAGGCAGCAAACTAAACACAGTGCTTTGGACAGGACCATGAACATCAAACAGTACACAAGGATCACAAACACTGAACACACTGAGCAGAACATGAAGGGAAAACTAATGAGCTGAAACAAGAAACACCTGGGGAGAAACATGAGGATCAGGTGTGAGTGGGCGGGGCTAGAGCAACGGCAGACAGGAGGAAGAAAACAGAAAAATCAGAATAAAGTCAGAATAAAACATGAAACCAGACAAAACATAACATTGCTTTGACATGTTTATTATTAAATGATGTTCTTTTGTGAAATCTGTTTGTAGAAGAGCTCCAAAGACAAAATCATTTTGTTATTGTGTTGCATTGTGTAAATTAACAACATTTGTTATGAGTTATGTGTGTGCCTTATGACACATGGCTGTCAAAAGTCATAGCAGGTAATTCTGAATTAATTCATGGGTTTTGATTTATTTTCATATGGGTTTGTTTAAAGCTGTGGGAGGAGTGGACAAATTAAAATTATGACAGAAACAGAAAGTTTAAAAAAATATTTTTTCTTTATGTTAAAGACAAATTTGACAAAGTTTGCTTTCAGGAAATCTGAAATTGCAAAAATACCAATGAAATACCATTTAACCAGTAATTTCTATCAGATTAAGCTTGTAAAGACGCTGTGTGCACTGAAATGTTTTACAGCCTATGGGCAGGCTGGATTCAGAGGTTTCTCTTCAGGGCCCTGTTAAAATTTATGATCCACACATCCATGAGGAACTCGTTTTTATTTGTTTTATGAATAAACATGTAGAAAACCACAGATAAACATACAAGAAATCCATTAAGAAGAAAAAAAATGGGTGTGCCTGTTGTGACAATAAAACTTCATTTATTCATTTCATTAAAAAATAAACAAAACATTTCATGCAATAAAACAAAACAACTGTATGGAAGCCCATTTCTGCTACCCTGATAAAAAAATAAAACTTTTATCTCATAATTATGAGATAGTATGTCATATACTATNTGTGTGTGTTTATATACCTGCAGTGTGTGTGTTTATATACCTGCAGTGTGTGTTTATATACCTGCAGCGTAAGTGATAATGTACCCGCAGCGTATGTGATAACATACACGCAGTGTGTGTTTATATACCTGCAGTGTGTGATTATATACATGCAGCGTGTGCGTTGATATAACAACAGTTTTTAAATACCTGTAACAGGTGCAGCTCCCACAGTGCAGTGTTCTGAGCATTGCAGTGTTCAGGTTCGTCCAACTCTGGCAGGTAGAATCCGCTGCCCTGAACCTCATTATCCAACAGGAAGTCGCACTTTGGGAAAGACTGACACACAAACACACATACACATGAAATTCACAGAGACAATGAGGTCAGGTGTGCTTTTACCTGCAGAACACAGCAGTCTTAAAAATACCTAACCATGGTGCACACACATTTGTATCTATCCTTATTAGGACCGTTCTTTGACCTCCATTCATTTCCAGTTATTTCTATAACGTGACCCTTACTATAAAACTAACCTCTAACCCAAAAATGGAGTCCCACTACATTAGGACTGGTCTTTGGTCCCCTTAAGGTCAGTTGGTCTTGACAAGGCCGATGTGTGTACCAGAAAAGGTAACAAATGAAGCACAGACTCACATGCATGATGGCTCTGTTGGAGGCGAGGATTCCCACACTGGCGTTGGGCAGAACGTGCACACAGAGCGTGCTCAGCCGTTTCATGAACGCCATCGCCCTCTGCTGGGTTACTTGTTTCCTGCGGCGAGTCAACATGGCGTCCAAGCACCGCAGCACAATGATGATGTCATCGTCAGCCCCTGTGGGGGAAAAAAAGTGTCATGTGATGCGATTCCAGCAGCTGATTGTTTGTTGCATCAGGGAAACATAAACTGACCTGAACCAAGACGCAGAAGAATTTTGTACAGCTGTGAGTAGAAATTCAGCGGATCGATGTTCAGGGCATCACCTGACACACAAACACCTTTGTTTTAATATGAAAACTGTACCCAGAGTGTCTGAAACTAGAACACAAAACTAATCTGAACCCCACAATCTGTTCTGAGAGGACCTCACAGAGACAGAAAAACATCCTGACCTTGTCCTGACAGGATGGTGAAGACCGTCTGGATGCAGTGAAGACTCTCCCGATTGGTCAGATCCTGCACAGATCGACCAATCAATCAACTAACCGAACAGGAAACAGCTTAGGGGCGGGGCCACGATAAATACTCACTCCTGATTGGATGAGGTTCTGCAGCACATTTAACAGGTCATCAAAGAACTCCAGGTTGATCAGGTGAGAAAAACTGAACAGAGATGACATCACAGTGAGTAAGACAGTACTAAAACAGTACTACTGCAGGTGAGAAGGTACTACTGCAGGTTGAGTACTTGGCCAGCCCCTCCAGGACTGCAGGGAGAAGAACTGATTTCTGGGCTTTCTTTAGGATCCTGAAGAAGACCAGGAAGACAATGTTCAGAGTCTCAGTGTGCTGAGGAGGAGGAGGAAGAGGAGGAGTTTAGTTTCTGGAGTTGGAACAGTCCCGTCAGTTTTGAAGTTGTTGACGTTGACCTCACCAGTTTGATTTTCTTCTGTTTGCTCTCTGAAGCTTCTGCCTCCAGCAGCTCCTTTTCCAGCTTCTCCTCCGCCTTCTTCCACTGCACGCACACACACACACACACACACACACACACACACACACACACACACACACACACACTGCTGTAATGAACTCACTCTGACACTTTCTCCATTTATTCCCTTAAAGTCTCTTCTCTCCATCAGTCACAGCTGAGCTCTGGTACCAGCAGCTTTCAGAGCTCTGGTACCAGCAGCTTTCAGAGCTCTGAGCCAAACGCAGACAGTAATTGTGACGTGCACACACCTTGTGTTGAAACACGTCTCTGTTTCACTGCAGTTAAAGCGAGCTGACACAACAGACAGAAGACAATCAATAGATAATCTGAGCATGAAAAGGTGGGACTGCCTGGCCAACTGCACTGACTGGTGATCAGGGGGGACACAGCTGGCAGTGGACCAACAGGACATTTTGGGTGAAGGAGAGTTTCTTTGACTTGTCCTGGTTTTTACTGAGAATTATTTTCATCATTATGTCTGTTTGCTCCACAGTAAGGCCAACACCTGCTGTCTGTTCAACACAAACACATGTTTTAAATGAGAAAATGATTTATGAGGAAACACTCAGGATGTTTATCTGGTGTGACCATAACCTCACTTACATTGTCCTGTTTGATCTGATTTAACATGTTTCCACCGATTAAAACACATTCATTTGGGCCACAGGATTCTGGCCCATCCATCATGTGGCGAAGACGCCAACTCTTGTCCAAGTCCAAACATATGACCCAACACATCGAAGTGACGATTAAGTCTAAAAGTTGTATCAGGAGAAACAGGCAAATATAGTGTTTTAACTAAAATGTTAACAAAAATTGCATTTTTTCAAAATGAATAAAAGTCTTATTA